TATGATAGCAGCGACCGTTTGGGTTTGGTAGTAAACGGAGAGGGTATGTTGTCCATCTTGAAAGTGAAGTCGCATAAATACGATATACAATACCGTGAATACTCGTATAATACCGTAAACTGAACTAACTAACTTAACTTAAATAAACTAATAAAGTAACTTAATTAAAATTGCGGTTACGGAATGGGCAAATTATAATCGCACTGACATGCGACCGTGTTACAAATCAATATCAGACTGATCGATCTAATACTTATTAATTACTATTAAAATGGCATGATAAATTACTTCGTTCACCGTTGATGATTTAAAATTACTCCGTTTTTTAAATTGTGCAGTCCCAATTGTCTCCGAAGTCTTCAAAATTGGCAAAGCTGGAAATGAATGATTGTAGTTGTTGCCAATTACTAATAACATCTCCTGCACTCGGTTGGTTAGACACCATTAATACATTATTCATCATTGTAATTGATTTTCTAGACAGGTACTTTTCTGAAACAAAATCTGATAACTAAAATCAGAATGCGAATGAATAAATAAATTTAATTCGTTCGAATTCGATATCGATGTTCAACCAGTATAATATTTCAGAAAGTGATGTGATACGTCGTATAAATCAACTAAATGTTCTTCTATAACTATAAACAATTAACAAACTAAATTACCAATAGTTACAAATATGCAAAATATAATTTTATATCGATTAATAATGACTAATAATACAATTTTTTTAAGTCTGTATTATCAAACGATAATCGATCGAAAAAATAAAAAGTTCATTTAAAAATCAAAAATGTATTTAAATATTAATCAAATATCATTAACAATTATAAATTAAATTATATAACATAATAAAAACATTTGATTTTTTTTTTTCAATAAAATTTCTTGATACACATAATTTTCAATAAAATAAAAATAATAATTAAAATGAATGTATAAATCATCACATTTAACAACATTTTGTTCCCCATAACATACAATTTTCATTTACTAGACATTACAAGACAAGTATTTATTTGATTTCGGTCAACATCTCTGCGAGAATTTTCTCAAGTTTACGAGAATCTGCTGCAAAATTTCTTATGCCTTCAGACAACTTATCATTGGCCATTTTGTCTTCATTCATTTCCCAACGGAATTTGGCTTCATTAATCTCAATTTTTTTCAAATCTGAAGCTTTTCCTAAATAAAAAGTTTATTATGCTCAATAAATTAAATACAAGTATTAATAGCCAAAGTAAAATTAATGTTTACCATTCTTTACAGTCAAATATTCTGTGAGTGGCTCATTGGACAGTTCCAATTCCTCAAGTAACTTTGGACTGATAGTTAACAAATCACATCCAGCCAATGCTTTAATTTCACCTAATACACATAGTTACAATTGTTAAAAACTGTGATACTTAATAAAAATATGTATTCTCAATTCGAGCACTGATTATAATCATAAGTAAAACTATTAATTTCATTATTTCAATTCAACTAAGATAAAAAGTTTAGCCCCTGAGAAGATGAGATAAAATATAAAAAGCGAAAAGAAAAAGAGGTTAGGTAAATATTTCGGTTATTTGACACTGGCCTAAGGGAAGAAAAATAAAAATTTTAAATTAAAATACAAATCTTTGGATACTATTATTTATTTCACGGTACAATTTTTGCAAATTCAAAATTCCACTTTAATATTTTGTATTTTTACCATTTAAAATAATTGTTTCGATTTTCTTTACCCTAAAGCTGCAAACAAGTAGATCAGTAAACTTCATCATATAATATAATTTTCACTACGAAATTGATGTAATACTGAACAAATATTCTTTCCTCGTTCCATATTTTCCACTTATACATTTCAATTAAACTTTTGCGTAGTTTTTGTGTACATTTTAAACCCAAATATGGCCTTTTGAAAACATGGGCCGAGTGGTTCTACATTCCATCAATAATTTTCGAGTTCTGGGTAAATGGGTAATACATAATCTAATAATGGTAAAACGAGAAATATAGAAAAGCTTAAAACTTATTATAGCTGATGAAAATTAAACATTCTAAACTCTGGCGGAAGCTTCATGCTGAGCTAACCCATCAACTACAAAACTAAATGCTATAGTTAGAATATTGATTACCTAAAAAAAAAAAACACAAAACTGCTCTAGAAAAAATGCTATTTTAATTAGAGATATGGGTTTGATACTGAGTGTCAGAGTAATTTAAAATATGAATTGTAATATTAATAGACAATAATATACATTTACATTTTAAATATTAGGTTTATAAAATTATTAAAAATAAATAAAGAAGTAAAACAGAAATAAAAAAATATATATATTTAAAAATATTCTTATTGATTTTCATATTGCACTTTCGCATTGCTGTAAAACTAAAATGTGTCTGATGTTTTCAAGCAAAAGTCGATCGATCAGCTAATACATTTTTGTACAATGAAAAACTTCGTTCAAAATCAACGAACGTTATAGACGCATACTTGAAGTAGATAATGTCATCAGTAGTAAGATATTCTGAAATATCTTCTCCTCGATAAGCGTGTATGATCGGCGTATGTGTGAAAAAAGTACTTGTTTTATAATTCTATAACACGCATACTGTAAATCCAGTGCCGTCACTAGTGGACAACTTAAGCAATTTCCTAGAACCTCGTACTTAATAATAAATTTAAGGGCCCAAAACTTGTCAAGTTAGAATAGTTAGTTAGGAGTAAAGAAATTGTGTTTCTTTTGTCTAGGGCCTAGCAAAAACTCACGACGGCACTGGGTAAATCTTATCCGCACGTAATAAATTGAATAACAACTCCATAATAATAATAATAAAACAATTTTTTTTTAGTATGATTCAACTTTAAAATGCCCCCCACATCTTAAAAAAACTAAAAAAATAAATGATATCAAATATATCAAAAATATTTAAAAAAAAATGACGTTGAAAAAAACAAAAACAAAAAATTAAATAAGTACATTCTGAATTTAGGAAACATAGAACGAATGTTTAGCTGAGATAGCACATTGCACAGGGTCAACATCCTAAATCTACTAATTGGATTACAATTCGGAAATATTTTTCAGCCCTCATCGAAGAACTTGAAACCCACTAATACGGGTTGGTATAGTGATGATGACGACGAGAAAGAGAACGAAAACTGAAATCGCAGCACAATACAGATCGATCGTTCTCGTAAGAAGCACAAATCGATTGAATATTTTTTTAATTTTTTTTCCATAATTAATAGCGCTATTAATTTTATGTCTGAACAGCGATGCCACGCGATCTCATCGGATTACTAGGTGAATCGTTCCGAAGCGTATTTGTACGAGCACATCCTTCATCTTATCGACCGTGTATTGTTGATGGTCGTGCACGTCACATGATAGGTGTAAGTGTTCGTGGTTGCACTGTACACAGTGCACGTTGCTATGTAGGTTATGTGATACATGCACAAAACAAGTAGTAAGTGCAGTTTTCGAAGTTAAAAAAAAAGTCTTATAAAACTGTTTCGTTTTATTTATTTTGTATCCAGCTCATTAATTGATGAGGTGTTTGGCCTCAATATCCGGTGCCAGGCAGCGCAGACGTTGCAATTAGGTATCATCAGTGCTGTAATGCTAAAATAAATCGTGGCTTTACGCGTTATTTCATGTAGTGACTGTCATATGGCACGAACCAACAAAACTCACTCATGAACTACACGTACCTCATTCATGACCGTTTGATGACAAAAACTTGTTGTTAAACGATTACAAATTTGAATTTTTCATTGAAATAATAATAATAATAATAATATATCCGATACCGAACCATGTCGTAAATATTACCACAATTCAGGTCGGTCAAGGTATTACATGGTTATTTGTCAAACTACAAGCTATACGCTAGACACGGCCGTACACCGGCGTACCGTCAACTTCTCGTAAGCCGTACGCCGCGGATTAAAATAGCGTATTGGGGGGTATACGCGGTACACCCCCGTATACCCTCCAATACACCACTGGGTATCACGCGGGACGTCGAAACGCGTTCGGCGAGCGGATTCGGTTCCCGTGCTCAGCGGTGATGCGCGTACACCGGTGCGTACGATGCACTAGGTGCGCGGGTGTAACACTAATCGACGAGTGTACGGCAGACACGGCCGCGCCGAAACGCGGGCAACGATGACGAAACATCAATGCGTTACAATCGTACAATAACGGCGCGCAAAACGAACAATGGCGTGCGTTGGACGATAATGTACCGGGGTTTCGTAAAAACGCACCGGCCCGTTGGTTTTTGACGCAAAAGCGCGTTCCGTTAGTGCACCCGGTCGATCGCGACGGACGTATCCGTACTTAATTGTACGTACACCCGTATGTGCAGACTGCGCGTTGTAAGTTTTTCCCCCGCGAAAGAAAAAAAAAACCCGACGAAAAACCGCAGCCGCGATCTCTGTGTAAAAGAGCGTTTTTCGAAACGGACGAAAACGGCCGCGCGCGTAGGCATCTCGCGCGCAGCGTTACGTAACGCGGGCGTGTGTGTTCACATTTCAATACGCGCAATTAAGAGTTTCCTGCGCGCAGGTCTAACCTGCGGCCGCGCGGGCAACACGATGTGCTTACACGACGTGCATCGTAACAATATTATCTCGTGAAAAGAAAGCGTTGTTTCCAGCGTTCCGGACGACCTTCGGAGAACGATTGGCCCGGTCCTACGGTAAAAAAAAACGTACGCAGACGTTTTAGACGAACACGTACGTGCATATACGTACGAACGGTATACATTATGATGGTATAGAAAAATAATAAGTAAAATGTAAAACGTGATGTGTCGGCGGTTTCGATGAACGGATGTCGCCTTGCCCCGCGCGTACGGGTTTCGGGCGAGTACTTGCGCGAGCGTGTACACCAACCGTTGCGGTTACACCGTAATATTGTTACGTTCGGGTTGCATTTCAGGGACCAGCGGAATAAATCGAAACTTATGGGTAAACGAAGAATAATCAAAACCATATGGGCGGCAGCAGAAGCCATGTGTACAAAACGAACTGATTTATTTTTAGAGAAAAAAAAAAAAATGTTCTGCGTGTTGTTCAGTGAATCGGAATCGAACGGCGTTGCACAGGTGTTGTGGCGCGCGTGTTGGTCTTACACAACGGGGTATTTTACATTCCGCCCGGGAAAATATCCAAGTAAAAAAAAAATACATGTAAATTTCACCTAAAAAAATATGCCGGTACGAAAAACGGATTCGTCAATCGTGTCATATCTGCTTTGCCGCATATTGTGCATCTAATAATTGGAAATATCGGATAGAAATATTATAAATCGTATTCAGTACACGTCCTAGAATTTTATACGCTATAACGGCTCGATTTATAGAATAAGAACGTGAAAATATACTTTTAGTGTTAGACAATTTTAGATTTTCTAAAGTAAACTTATAAGTGATACGTAAGATGTGCTTGTTGATTATCAATTTCTTCGGCCGGAATTTACATGTATGTTTCTTTACCGGATTTTTTTTTTTTCTTTGGCGAAATTTACCATTTTTGGGCGGAATTCACGTGCGCCCGTACACAGCAGTTGTCGTACGACAACGCGTGTTCGTATCACGTTAAAACAGCTCGTTCCGTGGACGAGGTTCGCACGAGGTTTCAGTTGTGTTACTGGACGCTGTGTGAACGGGAAGGAAGAAGGAAAATAAAAATAAACCCACCGCGAAGACCCGAGCGCGCGACTCGTGTGACAGCGATCGACAACGACGAAAACAGGACTTGACACTCGAAACTACCGTCGTGCTGTACCGTCGGACCCGGTGACCGATGCAGTTATAAACGCGACGTACGTCGTAACGAGTCAAGTCCGTCCGCGCAGACGTGTCCACGTCCGCGCGAGAAAGTCGTCCCTCGTTTTATAAAGCATATACGTATTACACGGATATGTGTGTCCGTTCCACTGTCCCGGCCTCGCAGGTACTTATCGGTTTACGAGGTTTTTTCTTTGTTTTCTATTTTATTATTTTTTTTTCCCCCGCGTTCTCTTTTCCGCTTTAACGTTGCGCGTCCATCATCTCGACCAACGGCAGCAAGATAAAACAGTTTTGTTATTGTTGCACACACGAGAGGACGGTGCAACCGGTCTTAGCGGCTACGAGGTAAACGTCCGGGAATCGCCATCAAGGTCGCGCGCGCACACTCACAGACTCTCTCTCGCGCGCGCGGCGCACACACGCTATCGTACGCGCACGACCTTACAAGGTCGTCCTGCGTCCGACCGGACACTTATGCCGCCGCCGCCGCCGTATCCTGCTCACCGCGGCCGCCACTGAATGTGCCACCGGCCCCGCGGACGCTCCGCGAAAGGTGCATACCGTACGTACACTTACTG